TTGAAGCATATTGTAGGTATGAAATATTTTTGTAAATATTACATTATTAATTAAGTGGGTATCAATTTATTTGAAAGTTAATATGTTTATATATGGTAATTAATAATTTTATTATTTTATTTGTTTATATATAATTATTAATAAAATAAAAAATTCAAGTTCGGTACTCAATCAAAACATAAAATTTAATTAACTTAAGTTTTTAATTTATATACATTTATTAAGTTAAAAATTGAATAATGTATCTAATTGAGAAATATTTATGATCTAGTTTTAATTTTTTATACATATAACTAATTATATTGTATGTGAGATATTAAGATATTTAATATTTGATGATTATAAAAAAATATATTTTATATTTAAATACTGTAAAATTATTAAATTTAATACTGATAATATAAAATGAATGTAATATATATTATCATATAAAGGCATAATTTTTTTTCATTAGGTATTTTGATATATTACCGACAAGAGGTATGTTGCTGTAAAGGTGTGTGGTGCCATAGGAATAAACATTAGTAAGAAGAAGTATGTTGCTGAAAATGTGGGTGGCACTATTGGAAGGAACATCAACAACAAGAGTTATGTTACTGAAAAATTGTGGATCACTCTCCCCACCTATATTTTGGTGTCGGAAACCACCTATATTTTGGTGTTGGAAACCACCTATATTTTTTACCAACTTGGACCATGTTGGTGAAAGTATACAATTAGTAACAAAGAATATGTTGTTGAAAAGTGGAAAACCACTCTCCCTCCCCAACTTTTACCAACACAAGCTACGTTACTGAAATTATATTTTCAGCAACATGGCTTTTCTTGCTAAAAATCATGTTAGATTCCGGTGCCAGAATCCGGTTATTTTTCTCTCAATTTTTAGCAACATGAGCCATGTTGCTGAAAGCCTATCTTCTGTAACGTGTCCTATGTTGCTGAAGAGGATGAGGAAATTCACCTCGCCTCCCTATCGGATTCCGGTAGAAGTTTTCAGCAACATAAGCTATATTGCTGATACTTTTTTTTTTCTGCAATATAGCTTATGTTGCTGATATATTATCAACATGATTTTGGTTGGTAATGCATTACCCACCAAACCTTCTCCAACAAAACTTTTAGAAAAGCACTTTCAACAACATGGAAGCATGTTGCTGAAGATTGAGATTTTAGTAATGACATTGGAAATTAGGAAATATCGGAGAAAAAAAAATATTACCATCATTCTTTTTTTTTTTTAGTAAAGTGTTTAATTAGCTAGACCTTAAAAAATAAGAAAAAAATTTAAAATAATGTCATTTTATTACATTCTCATTAAAAAATAGAAATAAATTTTTTTTAATATTTTCTTGTCATATTTAAATGAAACAATATTATATAAAAATATATTTTCTTCTACATTTTTTAAATGCACACATGGTCTCTTATTTTTGTGAATTGTTACATAAAAAAAAAAATAGTGTCAATAGAAGGCTACCACTTTCACAATTTCTTATTCACACGATGTCATTGCTTGGAGGAGTGGCACACGAATGTGGACTTTTGCATGGTTTTGAGTTGGAACTTTTTTTTTTGAACAAATACAATTTGAGCAGGATGGGAACCGCATCACGTTCGGCTCAAATTTTAATTAGGTTAAAACCTCATTTTGGTCTCTGAATTATTGTACAGACCTTTAATTTGGTTCCTGAATTAAAAAACTCTTTGATTTGGTCCCTACTGTTTACCATTTTGACTCCGATTTGGTCTTTCCGTTAAATATCCACCGTTAACTCACAATGAGTTAATGACATGGCAAAAATTTTAGACGCATCAAACCAAAATGATGACATGGCAACATAACAGCTTATATTCATGCCATGTAACCCACCAAAATGACAATTTTACCCTCATCTTATTCCTCCAGCATCCTCTTTTTTGAATCTTCTTCATTCATCCTTCTTTTCCCTCTCTTTGCCTCCTTTGGACAACTTTTATCACCATTTTTCTGAGTCAAACAGTTAATTTAATGAAATAGAATTCTATTTTTCATCAATCAATTCTTTTTCATCATCAAACAATAAAACCCACGAAAAAAAAAGAAACAACAATTTTTTTCGAACCTAGCACTGGGTTCGAACGAACCCAGTGCCTGGGTTCGTTGCCAAGATTCGAACGAACCCAGCGCCAGGTTTCCAAGGAACCCCATGACAGGGTTCCAACCAACCCAGGCCAGGGTTCCAAGGAACCAAATGGCGGTTGCTGGGTTTGATGGGTTCTAAGGGGGAAGGGTAAAGAGAAAGGGAAACAGAAGGAAAAAGAAAAAAAAAAAAAAGGAAAGAATTTTTTAAGTTTTATTATTTTTATATTATTTTTTTTGCCACATCTATTAATATTTTGCCACTTCATCTTGTAACAGTGAATTAACAGCACACATAATGAGATTTTTAACGAAAGAACCAAATCGAAGTTAAAATGGTAAATAGTAGAAACCAAATCAAAGATTTTTTTAATTCATGGACCAAATCGAAATCTGTACAATAATTTAGGAACAAAAATAAAGTTTTAACCTTTTAATTATTATTAAAGTATTAAATATCCGTTACAAGTAATTTATGAAATTTAGAACAGTTCAATCGGTGACGTAGACTTTGTGTCAAATTTGACAAATAGGAGAGGCTCGTGATTCCGTAACTGTAGCATTTCCCGTGACACCAACGGTGTGTTACTTAGGGTGTGAATTACCAAGATTGACCCTGGAGGCGCATGGGTTTTGGAATATGAGTTTTATTGTCATTAACAAAAAATGTTGAGAGAAAAGTAACTTTCTACGCATGAAAATGTCTTCTTTTTTTTTTTTTTGTCTCTAGGCCCTCATATTATCACTGCTTTTATCTTTGTCTCTGTATATTTTTCTCACTTATTTTAACCAAGAATCCATCTGCTTGAGCCATAACTCAAACATTCTTATTTCCATGTTTCAATTTCCGAAAGCATCTTAAAAGGAAAATGATAAGAAACCCATTTTTTCTTTCTTTTTTTTTAAGAATTTTTTCATGGCTGTCTTTTCTAGTTTCCTTTGAATTTCATTGGTGATTTGCTTTTGCGAAGGAAATTTAGATCAAGAAAAACCCATATTGTTAGAGCACCACCTCTCCCTCTAGGGTGGTGTGTAGGGTTTGAGCAGAAACATAGCCTCCTCCCTCCCCTATCACAATTTAAATATATATATATATTTTTTTGAGTATATGTTTTTTTTTTTTGTTATAATAGAGAAAGAAGATAAGAAATGTAAAATATGTAAGTGACCTATTTAATAAGACTATATCATATTTTAAATTTAATATATTATAATCAAAGTCAATAATTTAATTAGTTCAATAATAATTATTTTATAATAAAAATAAAAAAATTTTAATTCAAGTTATATGATATAACATAAAGTAAAATTAATTAAAAAAT